CGTTGACGAGATTAACCCCTTAGGTATCGAAATTTGGTACCGAACAACAAGACATGTTTCGATACTCGATAGTATCGAGGCAATTCGGTCGGTGCCTAAAAAGCATCGAACACGATACCCAGCCCTACTGTGCACTAGGGAGTTCTGGGTGCTTGTAGATGGTTTCCTACTGGACTGAAGTGAAAAGAGTTCAGTCTCAAGTCTCAGTGATATTCTGGTCTTTAGATTTGACTCAGATTGTTAGAAACACTCATCGGTTTGGCACATCAACCTCACTGACGTTGACGAGATTAACCCCTTAGGTATCGAAATTTGGTACCGAACAACAAGACATGTTTCGATACTCGATAGTATCGAGGCAATTCAGTCGGTGCCTAAAAAGCATCGAACACGATACCCAGCCCTACCGTGCACTAGGGAGTTCTGGGTGCTTGTAGATGGTTTCCTACTGGACTGAAGTGAAAAGAGTTCAGTCTCAAGTCTCAGTGATATTCTGGTCTTTAGATTTGACTCAGATTGTTAGAAACACTCATCGGTTTAATGATAACAGAGTGTCATCTTCATATTCAGATGAGAGCTGGAATTTCAAACATTACTAACTTTTTTAAGCAGCAGTATTAATACATATATGTATCAGTCTGTATTTTAAGGCTTTAATTTGACTTTCATCACTTTTTTTATGTGAACGAAAGCATTAGCTATCAGTCAGTCATCAGGAACTGTCATTCTCTTCATCTCTTCATATATTAGTTCATCACGCTTCATGATATCAACTCATTTTACGCATTATGAACAAATGCCTTATCTTCAGGCCGTGATCGGAGCGTGCATGGATTTCCCAGCATGCCTTTTGTCTGGACGGAAGTCTTGGGAACCCCCCGTGGGTTTGACAGCGGCCCTCAGTGCGTCGGCGGCCGTTTGAATGGGATTATGGGTAAATGAAGAGGCGCTCTGGAGGAAATGGTTAAGAGGATTTGGGTGTGTTATTAGCCATATGTGGAAGGATTCTGCTCAGCACGTCTTCATTTCATACAGGGCTCGTTTGAGCAGAACACGCAGAGAACCTGACATCACATGTGTTTAGAGCAAAACTGGACAGGAACTCTTTCACATACTAGATTTTTTATGTATTCACACTACTGTTCAAAATACTTTTTTAGGTTTATGAAAGAAGACTTTATTTGATCAAAAATACAGTAAAAACAGTACAATTCTGAAATATTTCTACAATTTCAAATAACTGGTTTCTGTGTGAATATAATGTTGAATATGAATATAATGTACAAAGCTGTATTTTCAGCATCATTACTCCAGTCTTCAGTGTCACATGATCCTTCAGAAATCATTCTAATATGCTGATTTGCTGCTCAAGAAACATTTCTGATTATTATCAATGTTGAAAACAGTTGTGCTGCTTCATATTTTGTAGAAACTGTGTCTTTACTGTCACCTTTGATCAATTTAATGCATCCTTGCTGAATAAGAGTATTAATTTCTTTTAAAAACCCAAACCTTTGAATGCTGAAATGAGTCTAATTTTGTATTTTATTTTATTTTGTTCTCAGATCTCTTCAATATCTCAGTTATTTCTCCAAAAACGAGATTAAGTAGAGAACAAATGGAACTGATTGATATCTGATGCTTTTATTCACACGAAATGCCATCTAAGTCAAATGAAAGTCAATTTTAGGAAAGAAATCACACATGAGATCTCTTTAATACCTCATTTTTTTCACTTAGTAATGCAGTTAAATGGAGAATAAAAGGAGACCTTTGTTAACATCTCCTGTTTCTTCTAGAGTTTCAGAAGAAGCATCTCAAATGCATCCTTGCTGAATAAAAGTATTAATTTCTTTTAAAAACCCAGACCTTTGAATGCTGAAATTAGTCTAATTTTGTATTTTATTTTATTTTGTTCTCAGATCTCTTCAATATCTCAATTATTTCTCCAAAAACGAGATTAAGTAGAGAACAAATGGAGCTGATTGATATCTGATGCTTTTATTCACACGAAATGCCATCTAAGTCAAATGAAAGTCAATTTTAGGAAAGAAATCACACATGAGATCTCTTTAATACCTCATTTTTTTCACTTAGACAGTAATGCAGTTAAATGGAGAATAAAAGGAGACCTTTGTTAACATCTCCTGTTTCTTCTAGAGTTTCAGAAGAAGCATCTCAACAGTGTCTCAAACTGTTCACATTTGCCAAGATACCAGTCTGCAATTATAAGATCTCAATATAAACTCAAAACATTTCTCATCAAATGATCTGAGCTGCTTTTCACATTCATTTTATACTTCTATACTCTTAACTGTTGACTCATTTACATATATTTTTATTTCTTTATAGAAATTGTAGGAGAAACATCTTAATACTGCAATGAAACGTAGCTGAGACTCTATGAAGTCTGAGCCATGAAAGTGAAACCTGAGCAATAAATGTTATACCTTACTTAAAAACTTACTTGTAAGGTCTTGCTGTTTTATTTATTGAATCAATCCCGTATTTATGAAAGTACACATTTCAGAAATGTACTCCAATAATAGTTTTATTTACAACAAAATTTCACATTGAATTACATGTGGAAATTTGAAGTATAAAGGCTGAAATATAGTGTTGTATAGTATTGTAATATTAAAGTATATCATAGTATTTTCTTGTAAAACGTACTTCAATAATCTTTTATTTGCAACTTTATTTGCAACAAAATTTCACACTGAATTAAAAGTGAAATTTTGAAGTAGAAAGACTGACATATTTATAGTTTTGTAGTATTTTAGTATGAAAGTATATCATAGAATGTTCCTGTAAAACACAAATAATCTGATTTATTTACAGTTTTATTTACAACAAAATTTCACATTGAATAAAATATGAAATTTGGAAGTATAGAGGCTGAAATATTTATAGTATTTTATTATGAAAGTATATCATAATATGTTGTCAAATGAACTCCAATGTTTTATTTACAACGAAATGCCACATTAAACTTGAATTAAACTTGAAATTTTGAAAATTAAACATGAAAGGCTGAAATATTTATAGTTTTTTTTTTTTGTAGTATTTAAGTATATCATAGTATTTTCTTGTAAAACTTACTCCAATATTTTAGTTTCAAGTACACTGAAAAAAAAAAATGATACTAAATTTTTTTAAGGTAAGTGGTTGTAATCAATTTATTTTCGCTAAATTTAAATAAACAAATTTAGTTGACTAGCTTTCAGCAAAATTCGTTTATTTAAATGTAGCTAAAATAAATTGATTGCAACCACTTACCATACATTTTTTTTTAGTAAATTCAATGAATAATTTTTTTAAACTGACAGTCACCACTGATAAGCTACTACTAAATATTGTAGAAACTTAATTTCTTTAAAGTTGCTTTGCAACGATTTGTATCGTGAAAAGCGCTATACAAATAAACTTGAATTAAATAGAATTTTTTTCAGTGTAGAAATACTAAAGTATTTTTAGTGTTCTATAGTATTTTATAGTAATTTAGTATTGTAGTATAATACAGTCTTGTCTTGTAAAACATACTCCAATAATCTTATTTTAATCATTTTATTTACAACTCTTTTCAAATCTTTGTTGCGGTTAACATCAAGTTTGTGTCGTTCAAACCCTTGATTAGCTGTGAAATCTCGGAGTCTTATATCTGTAATGTCTTCCAGGGACTCGTCTCTTCCTGTGGCCGTCTACGGTCAGGTGTGAGCGAACGCCAAGCGCTTTCTCTTTGAAGTGTGCGCATCATTTCCTGCAGGGCTGTAAGGGTTGATAAGAGAGAGTCCCGCTGCTGGAGAAATGATTCCTCCACACTGATTTGCGCTCGTTCTGACGCCGTCTCTTCTGCGGGCCGGCTGAGGGGGGACTGATATCTTCTAGGCTTTGACGGGAAGGATAATTGAATTGTGTTTGTCTGAAGTGGCGGATGAGCTTGTTTCACTCACCGGGTCAGTCATGGGAAACGCTGCACTTGAGTGTTTCGCTCATGCACTTCTGAGAACAACTCTATCCGGTGGCGAGATGCTTGTTTACTTGCGATAACTCTCTGAACGTTCGCTGATAACTCCGGATCTGATGTTGGCCGTTCAGGTTGATAGTGTTGGGCGTTTTCCAGAATGTTATCTGAGATGATAACGACATCTTGAAAAAAGAGAGAAGATTGAGTTATTCGCTTTTCTTTGCAATCCAGATCGGTCTCAACACAAATACGAGGTGTTTGGTCTTCGTGTCTTGAGTTGTTAAAGAAGTTCCACTTGTATAATAGTACAGAGAAGATGATTAGATGTTAAAGGGATCGTTTACTCTCAGCCTCATGTCATCCTGCATGACTTTTTTCTTCTGTGGAACTCAAAAGGAGATGTTTTGCAGAATGTTCATGCTGTTCTTTTTAAAATAAATTGAAATTGAAGCCCTAAACAATGACACAGAAGCACCACTAATGAAGTCTTTTGCATTATATTTCAGGTCTTCTGAAGTAAAACGATTGCTTAGTTGAATTTTGAAATTTGAATTAAAATTCTCAATTTCATTCACACTAGTGTTCAGTGTAAATTTTCTGTGTTAGTTTTTTTTCCAGGTTTGATGCAAGGTTATTATAGTTATACACTAAAACTTAAAACTTAAAAACGTAAATACTTAAGTAACATTGGTTTAAAATCATGATGTCAAATGTCATTTGTTCTCAACATACTTCTCATTTATGTCTAGTCATTTTAGTGATACACTTTTCCCCACATATTTGAATTGAATATAATTGTTTCAACAGAGTGAAAGTTTTTTTTTCTTCTCTTAAATACACTGTATCTATGGTTGAATTAATGATGAGTTTAAAGATTAAACTAAGTTTTTTTTTTGTTTGTTTTAAACAGCCTGAATTTAAGGCAGAACTGTCACGGGTCAGCAGTAGGATTGTTAGGACCTTATTTGAAGCAGTCACTCATGTTGAAAACGACGCACTTCATCTTAACTAATCTGTGTTTGTTGTTCCGCAGCGGTGTTCACAGAGGTCCCTCATGACATCACGGCACAGAGCGGACAGGACGTGGAGATGGCCTGCTCCTTCAGGGGCGCGGGATCGCCCTCCTACTCGCTGGAGATTCAGTGGTGGTACATCAGGAACCACAGAGAATGGACCGACAAGCAGACATGGAGCACCAATCAGGTACAGGCTGGAATTACCCATAATGCAGCGTTTGTGCTCCAGACGTGAGTGATTCTCAAATCATATGTGTGTGTGGTTGAGGAGAGGAGCAGTGCTTTACTAAATGATCAGAGGAACCGTTTGCACCTGCTGGACCAGAAAACAGGTGAAAAAAATCCCACAGACGCACATGAAGGAGGAACCCGAGCCAGAACTAGAGACAAAAGGGTGCGCTTTTTACACCTGACAGAAAGAAACCACCTAGCAACAAACAAGAACACTCTAGCAACCACATAGCAACCACCCAGAACACTAGCAACCACATAGCAACCAAGAACACTCGAGCAACCACATAGCAACACCCTGGCTACCACATAGCAACCAGGAACTCTCTAACAACCACCTAGAATACCATAGCAACCACCCAGAACACCCTAGCAACTGCATAGCAACCAGGAATACTCTAGCAACCACCCAGAACACCCTGGCAACCGCATATCAATCAACCCCTAGAATACCCTAGCAACCGCATATCAATCAAGAACACTCTAGAAACCCCCTAGAACACTCTAGCAACCACTCAGAACACCCTCGCAACTGCATAGCAACCAGGAATACTCTAGCAACCACCCAGAACACCCTGGCAACCGCATATCAATCAAGAACACTCTAGCAACCACCTAGAATACCCTAGCAACCACCCAAAACACCCTAGCAAACGCATAGCAACCACAAACACTCTGATAACCACCTACAATACCTTAGCAACCACCCAGAACACCTGAGCAACCACATAGCAACCAAAATCGCTCTAACAACCACCCAGAACACCCAAACAACCACATAGCAACCACCCAGAGCACTGTAGCAGTGTTGCAGTCAGAGATGGAAAGTAACGAAGTACAAATACTTCGTTACTGTACTTAAATAGATTTTTCTGGTATCAGTACTTTACTTCACTATTTTTTATTTTTTTATTTTTCACTCCTTACATTTTTATACAAATATCTGTACTTTCTACTAATTACATTTTCAAACCAGGCTTGTTACTTCAGTTTAAATCTGTATTTTCGCCATAATAAACCTCTAATAAATCATGAATCGGTTAGTCTTGACTGGCAATGCTCCGATTAGGCTCGTGTGCGCTCCGCACCTCTGCCAAAAGCTTTGGGTCAGAGTAATCAGTGCGAGAGACTCAAGAATGGTGGAGCAGAGAGGCAAAACTACTGATCTGTTCAGGACTTCAAGTGCAGGTCAGTTTCATCTGTAAATAGGCTGTAGTTTTGTCTTTGTTGACTTTATAATAAAACCATAATTAATTTTCATAAGGGAAAAATATGACTCATGATAACGCAATAACATGTTCAATATTATGATTTTTCTATAAAGATATTGTAATGCTGTAGTTATTGTAATTTTGACATTTAGGCAATTTAGAAAATATAGTTATTTCGCATAGCCCCAGCCTAAGGATTTTAACCTTTTTTTATGTGATGGCCGTACAAAAAATAGTGTTGTCCATGGTTTCAGAATTTGTTGTGGGTGTATGGGAATGCCTGGATGAGTGACATTTTTTCCCAGTCTGGCCCTGTTCTACACGCCTGGATACATTCATTAGCTAACAAAACTTGAAATGTAAGTTCTTTTGTATTAAGGTATTTATATGACGTGAGGTCCCATTACCCGCGTGACACTAAAACAGGTAGTAATGGCTACTTTTTACTTAAGTACATGTCAGAGCCCATACTTCTATACTTTAACTTGAGTAAAAAAGTGGAGTCGGTACTTCAACTTTTACCAGAGTATTTTTAAACATGAGTATCTGTACTTCTACTTGAGTGAAGGATATGTGTACTTTTGCCATCTCTGGTCCGTTTTAGGTAGGTGTGGCTGACTCTTAACTTTTATAAAGAATATCTCTTTGGATTTGAGACTTTAGTCTTTGCAACTTTACAGATCTTCTTTATGCACCAAGAGCTTGTAACACTCCAAAGAGAAAGGAAAACATGAAATCGCATCATATGACCCCTTTAAATTTGGAAGTGGAAAGACAAGAATTGCGATACGGCTTAGTGTTATGATTAAACAAAGTGTTGCTCATATAAGTCAGCTGCTGGCTGCTTTGTGCCCTGCCGTTACCGGGGAAACAGCTATATTTCTGCTGTTCCGAAAGCGCCTCCTGCTGGCAGAGAATGAATGGACGTTTTCAATAAGCCCGTCTGCTGTTTCTATTCTGACCAATGTGAAAATCAACCTGTTTTTACGCCGCAAACACGCAGAGTTGTAAATGTGAACTGGTGGATCAACAAGAAGATAATGGTTTATAAAAATCTAAACAATTGACAAGACAGTAAAATATATTTATATGTTATTTAATTAATATAATGATTGGTAATAAATGTTTAAATTAATATAATAATTGATACTTTTGACTCCATTTTCTTAAAAAATGTTTTAGGCTGAAATGTGAAGTTTATCATTTTATAAACCTTTTTGTTTTTGTAAAAACCTGTATCTGAACTCTAAATCATGCTTTTTACAGTCATTTTAATTTTATTTGTGCAGGTCTTAAAAAAGGTCTTAAAGTCTTAAATTGGAGCTTAAATATCCTGCAGATACCCTGGTCTGGCAAAACCCATCAGTTCATGTTTTTAGGTATATAATTGTCCGGACCTCGGCTGGTGAGGAGGGTTCATTACTGGATCTCAAGCAATTTTAATTGAAGCCCCCTGCTATAGATTAAATATACAGTGGCCATACAGTCAGTTTGGACACTTAAAACGTTTGAATGTCTGCATTATGTATCAAAATATCACAGCAGGTGTCATTTATTGTAAAGAAAGATGCACAATTAGACATTACAAGCAAAACATTTGACAAAGACATTTGTTGGGTTTGAAATGAACAATAGATCTTGTGTTGACATTGAAGACTAAAAATCATTAGAACTAGAATCATAAAGTGCTTGATTTTATATCTAATTCAGTGATATTCAAACATTTTAAGTGTCCAAATATGTTTTAGTGCTGCTGTGTTATTAGTAAGTATATTAGTGTTATATTAGTAGGTATCAGGGTTTCTTTAACTATGGGTGTGTTTGATCCTGTGGACTTTTAGAAGATTAAAATAAAGCCTTAAATTAATTTGTCTCCTAATAATGTCCAACAGTGGACATGCACAATTAATCAAAATAAAATGCAATATGGCTTAGTACAATTAACATATTGTGGACTGTATTAATTAAATAAATATAAAAACATTAATATAATTATGAAAAATTAAATTTTTTTTACAATTGGTAATATTTCTTATTTTGTTTAATAATTTAATTTAATAATAATAATAATGCTATTATTATTAATATACTCATATTATTATATAATCACAAAATGTTTTGGCAAAAATGTGCACCATTACAAACAAAGCACAGCAAAACTGGTGCTTTTTTCTTTTCACAGTTTTTATCAGGAAAATTACAATTCAATTTTTTTCACACTTTTTGCATTATTTGACGAAATCACAGCTTGATTAGAAATAATGCATAATAAAAAATTTTGTTCTTGTGATATTTACCTTGATACCTTTTTTTTTAATAGTTTATGACTGAAAGTTTGGATCTAGAACAATAAATAAATAAATAAATAAAAACCTAAACACAAGACATTTAAATAGTAGCAAGAATAAATGATGAAGGCCTAGTTAAATGTTTCCAAGACCGTCACATAATGAAAACACATTGAAATCTTTTAGTTTTAATAAAACCACAGGGACATAAAAGTGGCCAGAGTTGAAGGAACACAAACATGAGGTGAGCAGAGGAAAAGAGAGGAGAGGATACAGCGGTATTAATGGACACGCAAGTCTGCAGCAGGTAACAGTCCACACAACATTAATCACAACCAGTAGAAATAGCTGCAGCTTCCCAAGACACCAGAGAGAGAGAGAGAGAGAAAGTGAGTGGGAGAGATTGCAGGGCTTCCTGCTGTGAACTCAAGATGCTTTTTAATTGGATGAAGGGATGAAAAAGAGGGACATGGAGAAACTCTTGCTCACCTTTGCGTCATGTATTATTCATGAAGGGCTCTTGAGGATCCGCCGCGGCCAGTTAAGATGGCATGGTGCAGAACCAACATCTCATTCCAGCACACTGGACTTAAGTGGCATTGTGTGTGTGTGTGTGTTCGAATACCCTGCTGCTGTTTGTTTCAGTAACTACATTAGACACATTAATATTCTCTATAAAAGGGCCAAAATTAAATGAATAATTCACCCCAAAATTTAATTTCTTTTTTACATTGTGTTTGCATATAAATGTGTCTTAGCAGAGTGTGGACACAACCAGCCTACACTAATAAAAATCCATTCACTCCTTTTCTTTATGTCCCCAAAAAACCTAAACAGTCTCAATTATTAAGCCGTTTTGATTTTCTGAGCAATATGACATCATAATGCTCAGGCCCCGCCCATGACTGCTGACGGACTGTCCTGTATTAGCATATCTCCGCCCTCAGCCGTTTTCTCCACCCTCGAGCAGCTGTAGCGTCAGCAATGTCTCGTAAGCAATGCAGGTGTTTTGTAGTTTGATGTAAAAGTGAACACAAGAGTCTTCATTTTCTCCCGACATCAGAGTAGGGGTGTGCGATATTGACAAAAAATTATATCTCGATATTTTATGGGATTTTATCGATAATGATAATTAGACTATATTTTGCTGAGTGTGTTATTGTGCTGGTACCTTAAGGACTGCCGAAGACAGCTGACTCCTAATGTTTTTAATATTCTTCATATTCTGTGTGGTGATCAGTTCATACTGATAGAAATTAATCTTTTCCAATAAGTTTAAACTGATTTTTGCATTTTATGGGCATTTTTACCTTTATAAAGCCAAAGACCGTCACATAATGAAAACACATTGAAATCTTTTAGTTTTAATAAAACCACAGGGACATAAAAGTGGCCAGAGTTGAAGGAACACAAACATGAGGTGAGCAGAGGAAAAGAGAGGAGAGGATACAGCGGTATTAATGGACACGCAAGTCTGCAGCAGGTAACAGTCCACACAACATTAATCACAACCAGTAGAAATAGCTGCAGCTTCCCAAGACACCAGAGAAAGAGAGAGAGAGAGAAAGTGAGTGGGAGAGATTGCAGGGCTTCCTGCTGTGAACTCAAGATGCTTTTTAATTGGATGAAGAGATGAAAAAGAGGGACATGGAGAAACTCTTGCTCACCTTTGCGTCATGTATTATTCATGAAGGGCTCTTGAGGATCCGCCGCGGCCAGTTAAGATGGCATGGTGCAGAACCAACATCTCATTCCAGCACACTGGACTTAAGTGGCATTGTGTGTGTGTGTGTGTTCGAATACCCTGCTGCTGTTTGTTTCAGTAACTGCATTAGACACATTAATATTCTCTATAAAAGGGCCAAAATTAAATGAATAATTCACCCCAAAATTTAATTTCTTTTTTACATTGTGTTTGCATATAAATGTGTCTTAGCAGAGTGTGGACACAACCAGCCTACACTAATAAAAATCCATTCACTCCTTTTCTTTATGTCCCCAAAAAACCTAAACAGTCTCAATTATTAAGCCGTTTTGATTTTCTGAGCAATATGACATCATAATGCTCAGGCCCCGCCCATGACTGCTGACGGACTGTCCTGTATTAGCATATCTCCGCCCTCAGCCGTTTTCTCCACCCTCGAGCAGCTGTAGCGTCAGCAATGTCTCGTAAGCAATGCAGGTGTTTTGTAGTTTGATGTAAAAGTGAACACAAGAGTCTTCATTTTCTCCCGACATCAGAGTAGGGGTGTGCGATATTGACAAAAAATTATATCTCGATATTTTATGGGATTTTATCGATAATGATAATTAGACTATATTTTGCTGAGTGTGTTATTGTGCTGGTACCTTAAGGACTGCCGCAGACAGCTGACTCCTAATGTTTTTAATATTCTTCATATTCTGTGTGGTGGTCAGTTCATACTGATAAGTACTGAAATCCAATAAGTTTAAACTGATTTTTGCATTTTATGGGCATTTTTACCTTTATAAAGCCATTTTTTCTAAAAGTGTCCATTATCTTTTGAGTCAAATTCTTACATTTAATCAGGGAATTAGAATAAGACATTTGGGCTGTTACCACCAAGCAAATTAAATCAACACAGAAGCTGCATCTGAAGTGGCATTTAGATGTATTTACACACATGTATTTTGTTTAATGCAAGACATGAATGCATTTAACCTGCAATTACAAATGCATAAATAATGTTTTGATATATTAAACATAAAACGTTGAATACTGATATTGGAAAGGATTTAAAACATGAAAAAAATCAAAAGAAAA